AAAAAAAAAAAAAAAAAAAAAAAAAAAAAAAAAAAAAAAAAAAAAGTTTGTGAAAGAGTTCAGTCGATCTTTATTTGTGGCTGTTTAAAAGCTGAACAGCTCTGCAGAAAGAAGAAACACTGATTTACTGAGGCTGTATCGTGAGACAAAAGGCTCGTGTAAAACCAGGAAACTGTTTTTATACAAGCTGATCAAAGATTATCGCAGCAGAATCAGCTTTTTTTTTTTTTTTTTAAAAAAAGGCCACATCGCAGCTAAACTGACTGATCTCTGGAAAAGTCATTTCATTAATCACCTTTAAAAAGAACAAAWCTTTTAAGTTGTTCTCTGATCACCAGCTGGAGCTCTTCTAAACCTTGGACAGACAAAGACGGTTCATGTAGAATTCTCCTTTTATTGTCGACTTTAAAAAAGTCAAACATAAAAGCTAACGTTTGGCACATTTTCAGTACAAAACATTCAATCACARATATTTAAACTGTGACACCTGTTGGTACGAGCGAAACGTGGAATATTTAGTAGAAATTTGCCGTCTTTAGAATAAAACTGTCACCATAAACGTTGGGAGTTTCCACATTTGGAAAACATTTATTATGCGGAGCATTAATACCTTGAAGCTGTTAAAATGACAGCGTTCGGTCACTCACACATTGATCATGTCTTTATTAATGTTGCTCACGCGTCAGACGTGCCTGAGAAAGTGACAGACGGTGCGCTCGTGCTAAATCGGCTTAACTATAAAAAGGTAGCTGTCAGTTTTGAGAAAAATAAAAAACTGTTTCCTCCCGAGGACAAACTTGTTCCTGTTTTGTCAGGTGAGCTCACGAAACTCTGCAAGACTTCAAGTTCTTGTAGAGCTGAAGGTTTCTCACCGTGTGTTCCATTACAAAAGATAAGATTAAAATTCAAAAATCACAAGCGTGTCACGTTTTGTTCAAACTGCCGTAGCTGGAAGCAGTTTAAAGTATTTATGTGGTACAACACTAATAAGAGCTTCAGCTGCAGGTCGAATGCTTTTAATCTTTTTCTTTTGRCTCCAGTTGACTGCAGGTAATTAAAACCATTTACAAAGAAATTTTTTCATTTAATTCTCCAATAACAGCTTCTTTTTTTTATCAAATTAACTCAATAAAGCTGTTGGTTAAGGTTATTAAAGGACTTCAAACTTTGGATATATATTGTAAATATATTGTATTTAAAGTCACGTACCTGAAAATTGAACCWAAAGTTGTTTTTTGTGCTTTTTGGAATGCCTTGTAGTTAAAACACACATGGATGCATATCCTATTCTACAAGTGGGGGCTATAATTTAGTTTTACATGTATGATATCAGCAAACATGGAAGATTCTAGGGCTCTAAGAAAATTTCGATGCACTGAAATATTGCAATATTTCATGTCCCAATACTTTATCGATTCTCTAAAGCCATGTATTGATTTTTAATTAAGGTTTAAAATTTAAACTTTTAATCCGTTCATTTTTGTGTTGTAGTTTAGCCTCCGACCACTAGTTGGCAGCAGCCAGCCAGCCAATAGTCATAAATATAGGCTATTGTTAGTGTGATGGTTGACCATATTTTTACAATACATTAATATTAAAAAACTGCCACAAATATATTATCAAACCATGTAATAGCACATTTGAAATAATAAATATTAAACAAATAAAATACATCTGAAACATAATATATGGCAACATATGGCCTTGCTTACAGTATCACAATATATCATGGCATGATTTGTATCATATCACCAGATGCCAATACGCAGCCCTAGAAGATTACAAATCCATTCTCAAAAGTCAAATATCAGTTTTGTTCCTTTTAAATCTGTGTTTCCACTTTCAGAGAGCCAGCAGCTCGGTGCCATTTGTCCCAGCAGGGTTACCGTAGATTCTTATAACATGCTGCAGTAAAGCTTTGTTTCCYCATTTTTCTTTACTGAACCCTGAAATAAATATGCATGTAAATATTAGCTGAAGTTATAACATAAGGTTTGCTACCCTGATGCTCCAGATGCTAGYTTTTTATGGTGTTTATTTAGCAACTATTCTAAATGTCCGCAGCCACGAAAACCCCTAAAATGCCACAGAAGTATCAAATCTACCTGTTAGAGAAAAGGTTAAGGACTGGTCAATAATTTTCCACTTTCATCCTTAAAGTAATTAAATCTGAACTGTTCTGTCACTCAAACTGACATTTTTAAGGATCATTAAAACATAAATGTCAGGAGGCTTCTTTCTCTCTGATCCATGTATATCTGAGCAGGATATTTAAAAACTGTTCAGTAGCTGTGGAGATATAAAATCAAACAGGAAATCAACAAATAGGTCATCTAAAGAAAAGAAATATCATAATATTAGATTATTTCCACGCTGTCAATCAGAAGACGTCAGCTTTCAGCTCTGTGCCACAGAGGAAACTAAAGCTTCACGCTGTAACTGGGTAAATATTTTAGCATCTTGTACCGAAAACACGTTCGTCATTGATGTTCTTGATGCAAAACCAAAGGCCTGCTGGGAAGGTGCAGACCAGGATGTGCAGATCAAAGAAGAAGGACACCCACGTGGTGGGCTGGTGCTCCGACACCGACGCGATGATGGGGATGTGGATCTTGGCGTAGCTGCGGAGAGACAGGGAGGAGGAAAAGAGACGGGTTTGTAATTCAGGCACGCTCTGGGAATGTCGACACAATTAACACAACAGATCTTCCTGATTAACTAGAATTACGAGAAGCAAAAATAAAAATAAAACAAGGATCAGTTTGTTTCCCTTCATATTTATGGCAAAACCTTTAACAAACAGTTTGATTTGTTGGTTCCTTTTAAAATGATTAGCAGCTTTAACAACAGCGTTATAAGTCAGTTTTATAAGTCGAGTGTTTGTATTTACAGGAAGCCTTCAAATGAGAGGCCAAAAACTCCCCCCACAAACAAACAAAAAAATCCCTTCCTGCTTAGATCAGCAACCCCGGCTGCTTTGCTGTGCGGGATTGATCAGCTCTAACTWCACAACCGTTGCAGAGCATCTGGAGGGACGCAGTGCGCCCCCTCTCGCACGGTTCAACACGGTCTGGAACGCGTTCCCTCCTGAGATGTTGCAGAGCGGGTTTACATCCATCTCGGAGAAAACGCACTCGATCGAACACGTGTTCCATCGACAGAGGAGATGTGAAGGTCAGCAGAACTTACCCGGTGTCCCAAAGAGAGTAGAAACGACCACTCCACGGAGCGATGTACCCTGCAGGCAGAGGGGAGGATCAATAATAAAAAAGCTGCTGCTTTAATGTGTTTCATGTAAAAGACAAAGCGCACAGGGATTGTTTGTAGGCGTGAGGAAAGTTTGTCTTACTGTGGAGTTATACCTTAAAAGAAAACACATCCTGCTTTTAAATCCTTATTATTCACATTTAAACCATTTAATTCGGTCTATATAAAGTGGAACTGCAATGATTTGATCGGAGTTCGTCCTGATTGTAACTCCACAAGCCCCTCTTTCACCCCCCTTTTTTGAGGTTTGTCTCAGTTCAACTCATTTTGAGGCTGTCTCTTTAAATCCAAATGAGGTGATTCACACCTCGCCCCCATCCATGTGTGGTCATTTTTATACCAAACTATGCCTTTATGCAGAGTTGTAAAGTAACTAAGTTCAATTACTTCGTTACTGTACTTAAGTAGAAATTTTGGTCATCTGTACTTTACGTGAGTAATTATTTTTCAGCACACTTTTTACCTTTACTCATTATATTTTTACACAATTATCTGTACTTTCTACTCACTACATTTTTTTAAAAAGGTAGGAAGTAGAAAGTCGTTACTCCTATTTTATTCCAAGTTATTACTTAAAAAAATACTATCCTGATAAATTGTGTCTCCTGGATAGGGTTGGGCATAATCGTATCGTGTACAATTAATCGTCAGAAAAACAGTAATCGATTATTTTTTGGCATTTGACGATTAATACGATTAATGCCACCAGACAGAGTCCGCTCGGTGCTCCTCTCTGCTTCAAATATGAAGAACATTAAAAAAAAGTTCTGTAATTTATTTATATAAACAATTCAGAATTTGATGTATAGCCTGAAGTCTGTAATTTTTACACAATTTGGAAAAGATTTTTACGAAGAGCAAATCTTTCCCACTAAATTTGTCATGTGACCAGGACGGGTGTGCAGGGACTCCAGGGCATTAATCGTCAAATTAATCGTTATCGGCTAAATACCACAATTAATCGTGATTAATTTTTTTGCCAATATTGCCCAACCCTACTCCTGGATAGAGTGAATTTAATTGTGGTTGGATAAGAAGTATAAATATATAAAATTCTGACACCCTATAAGCTTGTACATAACCCAATACCGCTGCACGCCGTTAGAAAAAAAATTTTTTTTGAGAAGCCACCTCGCAATAAATGTCATTTTGGAAAAGCTAACTGCTTTCTTTTACTCAGTACTTTTACTTTTCAATACTTAAGTAGATTTTGTGTCAGAAATTTACTTTTGATACTTAAGTACAAAAAATATCAAACACTTTAAGACTTAAACTCAAGTAATATTTTTAGAAGACTAACTTTTACCAAAGTATTTTTATGATAAGATACTTGTACTTTTACTCAAGTATCACTTTGAGATACTTTATACAACACTGAAGAGTAGGGCTCTATGATTTCCGCGATGCAGAAAATGTGGACGAAATCAGGAAATTGACCAAACAAAATGGAATCCAGTATAAAACGTGGAATCTCGTGGAATTCACTTATTCGGCCGAGTTTCAGAGGTATTTTGGCCGATGCCGCTCCCAGTACCTGCCGTTACCTGACAACAGGCACACAGAGTGTGCTCCCTGAACTCCCCTCCACAGAAAAACTAAAAAAAAAAAAGCCACAACCCGCAGCAAACAGACTCGCTAAAACAGCAACGTCCTTCAAAAACATGAAGTTTACGGTAAAGTTTAGCACAGAACAAAACCCCAGAGGTTCTATATTTATCTGGAGAAGAATTTTCTGTAAGTTTTGTCAGCACGATGGGCTGGACGCTGTGAAGACCACTTCCTGTCTGGGTCACATCACAGACAGAGCAGGAGCTGAGAAACACGCTGCAAACTCAACACTTAGAAGTGAGGCGCGAGTTTATCCAAGATTTTGTTGTCGTGTGTGCGGAATCAGAAACACATTTAGAACTAGACATGGGTTTTTACGATGTAAAAACAAGTGTGCATTGTAGCATGTCATTGCAGCATGGCTTTGCCTGCAGCATTGGACTTGCARAATGAACCTTGACCAAGTTCAAATATGTTTTCTAAACCAGCTTGTGCCTGTCACATCAGCAGGTGTTTGTAATTAAGGTAATTGAGTGACAATATGAAGTTGGAAGATATTTTTTGTTAAAGTTGCATTAGCTGGGTTTTGAACCCTGATCTCCCACATAAAAGTCCATGACAAAGACCGTTAGATCAATGGAGCTGTGGCAAAATGTGGTGGCAGGGGTTGGTTTGTATGTGTGCAGAAAGAGGCCACATTGCCAATACAATTATTGACACAAAAATGCATAATATTAAAACAATAGAGCAGTATTAAGCCAGTATTATAGTAAAACATCAAAATACAATCATATTAGTATTGTAAACACTGAACTATTGAGATTAAATATAAAAAACTATGGTGCAGTACCAAGTTGAGTACAGCTGGGGGTAGTATTGGACCATTACAAGGGCCCCATTGACTCCCATTATATGAARTTGGAATAAAGTTTAAACATTAATATTTCCAAAACTACAAGTTGTACAGGTACCAAAAGGCAWAGCAATCATTTGGCACAGGGGCTTTACAGATATAAATTACAATGGCAGCTCTAGGACAAAGTATGCAGGAGGAGAAGCAWGGCAAAGTTGAGATGACTTGGATGGGAAATGAATCACAATAGTGTGCATTGCATTGGCAATGCACACTGAAAAAATGAAACAGCTTTGTCCGTTTTTTTGATAAAGCACTAAAGGTCTTATTCAATAGGCAAGTGTGCATAAATTGTTGCTGTTTGTAGGTTTTATGTTATGACATATTTAATGTTAAGTTCAATTCTAAAACATTTTTATTTTACAGGATAACTTTATTAATGYCAGATTCTGTTTTACATGCAAGGAATGTTTTTTTTTCTAAATTACTGTTTYAAACACCTTGCAGAAAGAATTAAATGTTCTACTGAACCACAGCTATTTGTTATATTAGTGAAAGTGAAATAACAGGCATTTTTTTTCTGTGGCTATTTGTCAAATTAGTTTTCATTTACATTATAATTACACACWTTTTCAATATGGACAATCAGGGAAACAAATAATACTGACTTTATAGGACCCTACTGAATGTGTCTTTTTGATCAATTCGATTTAAATTCACAAAAAACAAACACTAATGCAATCATTAAAGTTGTATTTTTGACATAACTCCCTTTGTTGGGTTCAAATAAACTACTTACGAAAACAAACCCAAAAATTAAAGAGCTATTAATTGTAATGTAGTGGCTGAGTGCACAAAAAMAGCTGTTTCTGACAATTTCGGTTTAAAAAGATCTAGCAAACCCTGAGCAGAGAACGTATAAACGCTGAAAATTTATTTTATTGATGCTGCCTAATTAGGGGGGAATTGACTTGTTTATAAATGTAAGTGAAACCATTTAAGCTGCAAATGAGACTGCACGGGGCGTTTACAAATGTCTTCTTCTGGTTCAGCTTTGATCTGGAATACATTTCAGCTCTGTATCCTGGGGGTCTGCAGACCCATTCAAACACACGCTCAGACAACAAAGTAAAGTCTCCTTCCTATATTCTGCACTGGCTGATGCGCACCAACACAAAGCTCTTCTTTAAGTCAGGTGCTTTGAATGGGATTAAGAGACTTCTAAATAAAATGCTACAAAACTAAACCACAGCAGACAAGAAAATTACTTGGAAAAAATCCGCAGCAGAGGAATGAAGATACGAGAGGTGATTTGTCGGATGGTACTGATTTAACCAATCAATACTTGGCTCTGTGATAAAAAGACAGTGAGGAAAAATACCCGGTTGCTGTGCTGCTCAGAGATGAAAGTCTGACAGATTGGAGTGAGATGTGTGCAAAAACTGGCAAAGCACTCAACAGTCACCGAGTCCTGCTGCTCGACTCAGATGGCAGCGTTCACCACACCAAGCCAGTATCTCCAAGTGACTGAACTCCTGCGTCCACATGAGTCATCGCTCCATGATGGTGTGGATCTAAGACTTAACCATCTTTGCATTGCAGCACGGAGAAAAGTCCAGCACGCAGCGTGTTTACATAATCTAGAGCTGAACATTATACTGCTCGCTACGCAAAAGAAAATCCATGCATATAACATCTGAGAGGACGTCAGTTTGTTTTTTATATACATCTGAAGCTAGGCGCAAGGAGAAAAAGGCACCGAGACGACAGAGAAGAGCTTCAGATCTGTTTCTGCCCAGTTAAATCTGAACGTCAGCAAGAGGAATAAAAATCAGTGATCTGAGAGAAGACAACTGGTTTGAAACGTTAAGCTGTGCAACGTGACCACAACCGGGCTGAAAATATTAAAGAGGGGACATCAACAGGGGACGAAGTTTAAGCAGCCGGCTGCACGTGCAAAAACACACGTGTTTATTATTTATTTAGTTTATTATTGTTAAAATAAATTAATTTTAAAAAAAGCACTTGGAACACGATCATCCAAAACTCATGAGACCTCCAAACCAGAAATTCAAATCTGCTTCTATTTGTTTATCATGAGCTTTCCAAGATCCATTTTCTGCCACACACAACATGCTGATTAGCGGCCCACAGGGTAGGCCTGCAGGTCAGCCCATCAGGGCTTAGTGGATAATACTCTGCAAGGTTTGGCTAAAAAAGAAAAGCAAGATCCAAAATGGATGAAATCCCAGATTTGCATTTATATGAAAATACTGCACAAAAATAAAAAAAATAAAAAAAATCTAGACACACCTCAGTGTTTCAGCAAAAAAAATAAAAAATTGTACAATATTTCCTACAAACAAGCTGCAAAATAAATTAAAATGGAACTGTTTTACTTCTGAGTGTAACAAATTATAAACTAGTTTATTAGATTCAACTTAAACTGGTTTCTGTTCTGTTGGTCATCATTTGCATAAATAAGGAGCAATAAGAACTTAAATCTATCTGATTACTCTGTGGCTTGCTTATGGTTCCTACAGCAAGTTCAACTTAAGACTTTTTAATGCCGTTTGAAATATTAATAAAAGACATTCAGTTATTTATTTTAATAAATAAATAAATAAATGTTTCAATTATTGTAATATTTAAGAAACTACTTACATCCTACTTACGTGTTAGCATTTTTAAGACCTCTGAAAGATTGATTTGAGACATTTTAAGGCTAATTAAGGCTTTATTTTCGTATTGATGAATTTAATGCCTTTTAAGACTAAGGATCTGTGGGAAGCCAGGATGTGTGACAGAAACATAAATGAATTTTGGAATTGAAATTAAATTATAGAACTGAAAGTGGAAGTGGTCAAACCAAATTTTCAATACAACAAAATTCAGTTTCAAAGCAAATTAATTCGGATTCAAAACTTTAAATTCAGTTTACTTTTAGTGAAATTAATTTTCAAATTAACACATTTAATACAGATTAATTCGGAGCAATTCTAATTCAGCTTGTGACGGGACAAGGTTCTTCCCAAAGGTGGGATGTGAAACGCATCATTTGGATTTAAAGAGTGGGTTCGGGCTGAAGCTGCCCCGCTGCCTTTCTTTCCCCTCCTCCCCTCCCACTGTGTGTGTGTGTGTGTGTGGTGAGAGCAGCGCAGCAGTCAGCTCTCCCCACCCGAGGCTGAAGGTCAACAGACGATCATGCTAAGCTTGCTAACTGTTCCACCCTCTGACTGCTGCAGGGGCGTGTCTTAGAGAGAGGCTTTTATACCAGAACACAGCCGCTGTGACGAAACCGTGGAGAAGACACGTCACAGAGGAGAGCCATTAACCAATATGCAAATTAGCCTGCAGTACCACTGCTCTACCCAAATGAGCAGCAAAAAGACGTTTTTAAACCAAATATTACAGATTTGAACAAATACGCACAAAAACATCAAAATTAGCACAGAAACAGTACTATATAACATTTTAGACACATTCTAGACAGTTTATCAGCTAAAAAAGTTAATTTTTGGGTAAGTTACTCTTTAAAGAGACAGCATCAAAACGACTTGATCTGAGACACCTCAGAAAAGCGGTGAAAGAAGGGATTGTGGAGTTACAATAAGGAGGAATTCACACCAAAAGCCTTGCAGTTCCACTTTATATAAACCCCAAATGAAGGATTTAAATGTGAAAAAGGAAGATTTAAAAGTGTCAAGGAATCGCAGTTAAAATGTTTTAGTATCAGCTGGTAAAAATAGATCATTTACTGATGAAACTAACAGTAAATAAAAGCATCTATCCTCATCATTTCATTTAAATTAGTAGTGATCATAATAACGAACACTCAGCTGCATCTTGACCTACTTTGCCACACTTTTGTTTCGTTTGATTGGCACGTTCAAAGACACAAAACAAAAGGTTTTACCGAATGTGTTGACGTTAAGACTGAASCTTTGAGAGCCTAAAGGGACATCGACTTGAGCAAAAATATCTGACAGATGTAGCTTTAACACACAATAGAGACAACAATATATGGTTATAAATTAGACAATGAGTTCTCCATCAATAAGGCTTTGTATGTTTGTTACAAATTGCACAATTAAAGATTTCTTAATTAAAGATAAAAAATCCACTTTTTAGATGCTTAACTCGCTTAAATGAAGAATTAGATAGATCTGAACACTTTTCAGTTTAAAACATTCCTGCACGCTAGTTTTTTCCAACGTGTGGGGATGCAGACCTGTGTATGTGAGATAGATGACGGTGAGGAACACGACACAGGCAGCCAGAGAGATCCCGAGGAAAAAGAGCGTCTGAAACTCCTGTCGGGTGAGTCTGTCCTTCAGGTACTGCAGGAAGGCGTACGCTTGGAGAAGTGCAAACACACCTGAGAAAAAAGCACAGGCAGATATAAAAGACTGAGCAAACACACAAAGAAAAAATAGAAAACAATCTCAAAGTGAATGTTTGAGGAAGCCCTGATTGATGCTGCCTCCTGCTGGGTACAAAGTGCGTTAAAAAGCACCGTTGTCATTTCCCCACACAAAGCGGTCCACGAGATCCCCCCATGGCTCCTTAGGCAGATGTTAAAGACAAACACCTCAGGACAACATATCTGAAATGCAGGAGGTAAGCCTCTTCTCTGTCTGCAGCCTCTTCGGTCACACTTCTTTTTTCTCGGCTGTTTCCTCTCCGCTCGTCCGGTCCATTCCAAACACACAAAAACGATTTGAAAACCAGAGAGCGACCTGGTTTCACCCATTTTCGTCACCCGTTCTCAAACTTTGCGTGAAATCGCCCGACTTCCCCCCGCGAGTCTGCCTCTGCCAGGAGAGGCTCTCGCCATTTTCCGCGGTGAACTTCCTGCCTGTCTTCTGGAGCACCGCCGCGGTGCTAAAACGCCTGTCAGTCTATGCTGCTCTGCTTTCCTGCCTGAGKGGGGTGACACGTCGTCGGCGCTGATGGGTCGCTCTCTTCGCATTTACCGCTGCGCTCCGTGAATGCGCGCCACCAGATGTTCTGAGCAGCTGCTGCCTTCGTGATGCTGACACTCACCTCCTCATTCAGACGGTGGGGAGATCGAACTGACAGATAAACTTTGGAGGGGTACTCCTTAAAAGTTTCTCATAAAGTGTTGAAACAGTCCTACAGACAGATACTTTACTGTACATCTGCTGCAAAGAAGAGAGAGAGAAACTTTGCCTGGATTCGAGAAGCTGCCAACAAGCAGACATGAATGGAGGAATCCTCTTACATACGCATTCATCCCTGATCTCAGGCAGCAGATGGGCCCASTCAAGTGTTGCAACTCTGCAAGCTTTAATAAACTTTCCACACACGGAAACGTTAAGCCCTTCACAGGCTACACAGAAACATGTGGCATGGAAAGGTGCTTTCTTTTTTTTATCTCGCTCTGAAAATGTATTCCAGTCCAGTTTTCTCCCACAGAGAGCGCCTAACACCGTCAGCAAAAAATAAATTAATTCTTGTTGCTACAACCGTAAGTGTTGGAGCATCATAGAAAAATGYAATCGCACATTAAAATAAACATCCAGCATTAGAATTAAAAACGCATCAGAACTGCAGGCTGGTTTAAATGATACCAATTTACCTCTAAGAAATAAAAAAAATAATATATAAATATTTTTGATCATTTTGAGCTGAATTACAAAAATATGACTGAAATTTTTACAATAAAAGCCTTTTACATTTTCTTTGAAACAGTACAGCAGGGCTATTTAACTGAGTTGTTCCGAGGCCTGCAGTGGGGGATGGACATTAACGGTAGGTCAAACACTGCAGCATGTAACAGAACAAGTATGATTTTATCTATTTTATGTTAAATTATGTAAAAACGTAAATGCAAATCCACTTTTGTTTTCATTGTCGGGCCAGATGGAAGTCACCTGCAGGCTGGATGTGGCCCGCAGGCCACCAGTTGAATAACCCTGCAGTACAGGGTTACAGAACCACACCATTGTTGCTAGCAGCTAAGCTATAGTGCATTCACTGACCTGAGGTTTAAAGGGAAAAAAACTAGAAAATTTGCATTTCCTGCAGAAAWGCTGTGAATGCTTAATGCTGAAAGATTTTTGCCAAATAGCTAAAAAAGTTTAAACTAGCCTAAACATTTTTAGGTTTTGAAAAGGAGCTGAAATAATTAGCACAGAGACAGAAAGAAAATTTGCTGAATTAAAACGTAAGAAGCTAAAATTATCACAAAACAGTGACTAGCTGAAAGAATCTCAAATTAGCTAAAAAGTAGCTAAAATTAAAGAAAACAGTTAAAATTAGTAGAAAGCAGCTAAAATAAGCATATAAAATTAGTACAAAACAAATAATCCAAATAGAAGCTGAAGCTATGAGTTTAAAAAGGAGTTTAAAAAAAGGCAGAACCAGTACAAAATGTAAAATGTTTTTCTCAATTTTGAAAGGTTTTAAGGAGGGTGAAGACAGCTCCATTCATTTTCAATGAAAAGATAACGGCCAAATAAGCT